CACACACACACCACAACACACACACACACACACACACACAAACACACACACACACACACCACACACACACACACACACCACACACACACACACACACAACGCACACACACACACACACGCACACACGCACACACACACAACACACACACACACACACACACACACACACACACACACACACACACACACACACACGCCCAGCGCCGTCCCCCAGTCCGACTCGGCGCGACTGAAATCTGATAAAACCCATTCAATTCTTCCCGATTTTTTTTTTCCCGCCGGTTGTGCAAAGGTGTCGGCCGGATTGACACGCGATCCTTGCAATTGAAGCGCCTTTTCCTGGTGTTGCATAAAGTCAGAGAAATGACTCTTTGGAAAACTGGTTAGAAATTGCCGTTATGATAATAGGTTGTTAGATAGATAGAACGAATAATTTGATGGATTGACTGATAGATAGGTATATATAGAGATAGATAGATACAATGGATAACTAGATAGATAAACAAATAGATAGATACATGGATAACTAGGATAGATAAACAAATAGATAGATACATGGATAACTAGATAGATATCAATTGAAGCGCCTTTTCCTGGTGTTGCATAAAGTCAGAGAAATACTCTTTGGGAAACTGGTTAGAAATTGCGTTATGATAATAGGTTGTTAGATAGAACGAATAATTTGATTAACAGATTTACTGATAGGTATATATAGATAGAACGAATAATTTGATGGCTGATAGACAGGATATATAGAGATAGATAGATACATGGATAACTAGATAGATAAACAAATAGATAGATACATGGATAACTAGATAGATATCCTTGCAATTGAAGCGCCTTTTCCTGGTGTTGCATAAAGTCAGAGAAATGACTCTTTGGGAAACTGGTTAGAAATTGTCGTTATAGAAATAGGTTGTTAGATAGAACGAATAATTTGATTAACAGATTTACTGATAGGTATATATAGATAGAACGAATAATTTGATGGATTGACTGATAGGTATATAGACGAATATTTGATAAGAATTGACTGATAGATAGGTATATAAAGAGAAAGATAGATACATGGGTAACTAGATAGGTAAACAGATAGATACATGGATAACTAGATAGATAAACAAATAGATAGATACATGGATAACTAGATAGATAAACAGATAAAAGACAGAACAGTATTCGATATTAAAAGTTTGATAATAAACAAAGATTAATATTTTTTTTCTTCTATCCCCCCTCTTCTCTCTCTTTCTCTGTCTGTCCTGTCTCTCTCTCTCTTTCTTTGTCTGTTTGTTTGTCTGTCTGTCTGTCTCTCTCTCTCTCTTCTTGTGTTTGTCTGTCTCTCTCTCTCTGTCTGTCTGTCTGTCTGTTTGTTCTGTCTGTCTGTCTCTCTCTCTCTCTTTCTCTTCTCTCTGTCTGTCTCTCTGTCTCTCTCCTCTGTCTCGTCTCTGTTCTGTCTGTCTGCTGTTTGTCTGTCTGTCTCTCTCTCTCTTCTCTGTTGTTTGTCTGTCTGTCTCTCTTTCTCTGTCTGTCTCTGTCTGTTGTCTGTCTCTCTCCTCTCTCTCTCTCTCTCTCTCTCTCTCTCTCTCTCTCTCTCTCTCTCTCTCTCTCTCTCTCTCTCTCTCTCTCTCTTCTCTCTCTCTCTCTCTCTCCCTCCCTCCCTCCCTCCCTCTCTCTCCCTCTCTCTCTCTCTCTCTCTCTCTCTCTCTCTCTCTCTCTCTCTCTCTCTCTCTCTCTCTCTCTCTCTCTCCCTCTCCAGCTGAAGCCTCACCTTCACCAACAAATGTTGAAGTTCGAAGGGCCGAGGGTGACCTACTGGAGGCCGACGTCCTTGCCTCATCTGCTGCGCCTCAAGTGCCACCATCCCGAGGCCAAGCTGGTAGTGGGCAACACTGAAGTGGGTAAGTCAGGGTGGGTGGAGTGCGAGTGGTAAGTTAGGTTGGGTTGAGAGGACGAGCGGGTAAGTTAAGGTTAGGGCGAGTTTAAGTTAGGTTGGAGGGCGAGTGGGTTAAGTTAGATGGTTGAGGGAGGACGAGTGGGTAAGTCAGGGTGGTTGGAGGCGAGTGGGTAGTTCAGGGTGGGTTGGAGGGAGTGGGTTAGGTTGGGTTGCAGGACGAGTGGGTAAGTTAGGGTGGGTTGGAGGGCGAGTTGTTTAGTTAGGGTGGGTTGGAGGGCGAGTGATTAAGTTAGGGTGGGTTGGAGGCGAGTGGGTAAGTGAGTGTGGTTGGAGGGCGTGTGGGTAAGTGAAGTGAAGGTTGGAGGGCCGAGTGGGTAAGTCAAGGGTGTAGTTGGAGGCGAGTGGGTAAGTTAGGGGGGTTTGAGTGAGTAGGTAGTTAGGTGGTTGGAAGGCGAGTGGGTAAGTGAGGGTGGGTTGGAGGGCGATGGGTTAAGTCAGGGTGGTTGGAGTGCGTGAGTGGGGTAAGTTAGGGTGGGTTGGAGGGCGAGTGGGTAAGTCAGGGTGGGTTGGAGGCGAAGTGGGTAAGTCAGGATGGGTTGGAGGGGCGAAGTGGAGTAAGTCAGGGTGGGTTGGAGGGCGAGTGGGTAAGTGAGGGTGGTTGGAGGTCGCTGATGTGAGGTATTAGTTACAAGGCTGGGTTGGAGTGCGAGGGTAAGAAGCAATAGTGGGTAAGTTAAGGATGGGTTGTGGACGAGTGGGAATAGGGTGGGTTGGAGGTGCGGAGTTAATTAAGATGGTGGGTTGAGGGCGGAGTGGGTAAGTGAGTGTGGGGGGAGGGCGAGTGGGTAGTTGGGGTGGGTTGGAGTGGAAGTGGGTTAAGGTTTAGGGCGAGTGGTAAGTTAAGGAGTTGGGAAGTGGGTAAAGTGGCGTGGGTTGGAGGGCGAGTGGCGAGTGGGTAAGTTAGGTGGGTTGGAGGGCGAGTGGGTAAGTTAGGGTGGGTTGGAGGGCGAGTGGGTAAGTTAGGGTGGGTTGGAGGGCGAGTGGGTAAGTTAGGGTGGGTTGGAGGCGAGTGAAGTAAGTTTAGGGTGGGTTGGAGGGCGATGGGTAAGTTAGGGGGGTTGGAGGGCGAGTGGGTAGTTAGGGTGGGTAAGGGCGAGTGGGTAAGTTAGGTGGGTTGGAGGGCGAGTGGGTAAGTTAGGGTGGGTTTGGGTACGAGTAGTGGTAGGTGAGTCAGGGTGGGTTGGGAGTGCGTGGGTAAGTTAGGGTGGTGGAGGGCGAGTGGGTAAGTCAGGGTGGAGGGCGAGTGGGTAAGTGTAGGCCAGTGAGTACGTAAGAGTGAGTTAGAGGAGTGGGTATGTGAGTGTAAGTGTGCGTGTGGATAGCCATGTGTGGTTTTGATGACAGGATTGGATGTGGGTATGTATGTGGATGGATATAGATATAGATATAGACGTAGTTACCGATTTGTGTAATCTTATCGTGGGATATATGACTGCATTTACGATTAAAAAGGAAAGAAATATTAATACGTGGAAAAAAAGGGAAAAGAAGAAAGAGAGAGAAAAAAAAGAGAAGAAAAACACCTTAATGAGGTTTCACTTTCCGCAACCAGTTTCAGCTTCATAGGATAACGTGCCTAAAACATTTACAAGGAAAGTTTGCACATTTTGTTGTTGTTGTTGTTGTTGTTGGTAGTGTTTTGCTTTGTTCATTTTTTATCCGAAATCGTAATGAATAAATAAGACAATTATTTAAATGAAGTAAGATCAAATCGTGTTAATGTTGAGTTTTGTTTTGTTTTGGTGTGAGATCAGTAATGATTATTTTAGGCTCTTGTAATGAAAATCGCAGAATACTGTATGTGCTATGTGCTTCAGCTACAAAAACAATTATCTTATATACTTTTATACAGATTTGAATCTTACTTATTACACGGACTAACCGTTTTTGTGATGTGTTTTGATAGCGCAGTTCTTTCGCTATGTTAATTTCTTGCTGCAATATACTGAAAAGTCGTGCCCATACATCCACTATGTTTATTTCTCATTCTAACACCCACAAGCTTCTCAAATGCTAAAAATACAATAAGATTTCCCCTTCCCTAGGTGTCGAAGTGGCCTTTAAGAACCAGACGTATCCCGTGCTGATCAACCCCTGCTGGGTCCCTGAGCTCAGCGCCGTCAAATACATGGAATCAGGGGTAGCGTTGGGAGCAGCTGTGAATCTGTCTCGGGTTCAGGAGATTTTGAAAAAGCAGGTGTTGACGCAGCCAGGTGAGGTGTTCGTATTTTGGGTTAACTGATATGTACACATGCATACATGTATAAGCACACACACACACACATACATACTTACACACACACACACAATAACACAGACAAACAAGCAGTTACACTTATACACATTTATATTGGTTATATAGAATTATACACAATTATAACACATATGGTTATATACATTGTATTATATTGGTTATATACAATTATACCACATTTATATTGGGTATATAGAATTATACCACAAGTCTTATAGCACAAGTCCAAGTTGATAACAAATAGGCTCTGTTGCATAAAATAGTTTCTTCTAAAATTCTTAAGGTCTACAATACGTACAATAATATTACAGAGTGGAAGACGCGCACTTTCTCTGCCTTCTTAGAGATTCTCAGGTGGTTTGCTGGACAGCAGATCAGAAATGTTGCTGTAAGTAACTTTATATTGTTGGTGTTATTTGTATTTTTTTCTGTTTCTCTCCATTATATTCCTATTATTCTGTATCTCTGTCTGTCTATGGCTATGTCTCTGCTTGACTGTTTAACGCTCCTTTTTTTTCTCTCTCTCTCCTTTCTACTTCCTCTCTCTCTTCCCCCTTTCATTTTCTCTGAATGTTCTATCTTCCATTTTTATTAATATATCTTTAATCTGGACTTTCTCCTTTATTTCGATCTCTCAATTTTTTCTCCTTCCTTAGAGCAGATCCTAAATATTACCAATGACTACATGTTTATCATCAGTAACAGCAGTCACCTTAACAAATGATGATATGAATCAGTCATAATAATAATAATAATAATAATGATAATAATAATGATAATAAAAAACAACGAAGAAATAATAAAAAACACAACAATGATCATATGTATAACAAACTGGTTTATTATAATTATTATCATTACAACCATTGTCATCATTATTTGTATCATTATTATAATAATATATAATATTATTATTATTATCACCTAGTTATCTCATTTCTTCCACAGAGTTTCGGAGGCAATATAATGACAAGTTCGCCAATCAGTGACCTAAACCCCGTCTTAATGGTATCTGGAGCAACTCTTACTTTCTTAAGTCATGGTAAAGCTTTAATACTTGAGTAAAGGACAGAAAATTGCCTTCCATATCAAATTTATTCTGACTTTGGGTGTATATGTGATGGTTATAGATAGGTTATATAACATAGGGGGGGTCTATGTTATATCTAGATGTGAGAGTACTGGGTATTTTAGCTTTATTTGAATGAGGATTTGTACGCAGTTTTGTTATATATGAGCTGTGTAATGGAGAGAATGTTATAGATACTTACTGAAGACACCCGTGTTGTGACTTACGAAAGGTGGTTGTAAATGTGATGCGTATAACTGTATCTAGATTATTTTATGATAGAAAGTACCTTACACAAAGTTACGTAGGATTGTGCATATATTATACAAACATACATATATGGGTGTGTGTGTGAACGAGCGCGCGTGTGCGTATGTACAACAGGAGTGATCGTAATATTGCATTATAGATAATACGATACTCCTAAATATAACACACATCCTTTTCATATAATTATCAGAACATGGCGAACGCAGACTCGTAATGGAACAGAATTTCTTCACCGGTTACCGAAAGACCATTGCCAAGCCCTCTGAAGTACTTATAAGTGTCCATCTTCCTTACTCCCAAGAGGTAGTGAGCTGCTTCGAGGACTTCTCTCTCAGTAAAGTGCTTTTAAGATCTGATGATACAAGACATACTAAAACATTGAAGAGTTATTCTAAAATATATCAATAATCATATTAGTTAACAAATACCTAAGGATACAATGATCACAATAATTAACAAATACCTAAGGATACAATGATCACAATAATTTTGAAGAAATTCTAAGATTTATCAGTAATCTTATTAGTTAGTTAACAATAATTAACAAATACCTAAGGATACAATGATCACAATAATTAACAAATACCTAAGGATACAATGATCACAATAATTAACAAAATACCCAGTGATAAAATAATTATACCAATTACCAAATTCCAAAGAGATACAAAAAACACGCTAATAAACAAAATACCTAAAAATACGATCTCACAGGACGAGTATGTACAAGCCTACAAACAATCCCGAAGGCGTGAGGACGACATTGCCATAGTCAACGGTGCGATGAGAGTGAGGTTCGTGTCGGGAACAAGCCGAGTGGCGGATCTGCGAGTGGCGTTCGGCGGAATGGCGGCTACGACCGTTATGGCGGTTAAAACGGCCAAGGTAATGTAGGGGATCGCGGTGGGTGTGGCAGCTCCGGTTTAGTTCTTGTTTTTTTCTTTATATGTTTGTTTAATTTTTTCTGTCTTGGCGATAATTTGAATGTAATGTTTCAATAGTGTTTTGTCTTTTTTTTTCATTTTAGTTTCATGTTCGTTTCCCCCTTTTGCCTGTAAATGATTAGGTAGAATGCCATGAAGGATTGGAGAAAGAAATTATTTATGAACACTATTTATGTCCAATAAATGCACCTATATAAAGAACAAAAATGAGAATGGACAAAAATGAATTCGTGTAAAACAGATTATCAACACTATTTATGTCCAATAAATGCACCTATATAAAGAACAAAAATGAGAATGGACAAGTAAAGAAAGAGAAACGGAATTCCTAGGAATACCGTTGGCCTAATACAAGGTATAATTCATCCACATTGACCATTTATTCACTACCTGTAGGAACTGATTGGCTGCGAGTGGGACGAAGCGTTGCTGGAAAGAGCCATGGCACTGCTGCTGGAGGACCTCCCCCTGGATGCCTCCGCCCCCGGGGGGATGGTGGAATACCGCCGTACCCTCACCCTCAGGTAGGAGTCTCTGATGCAAGTATTTGAGACGGACGCGTACAGGGCAGTGGCATACAAGGTCTATATAAGTACAGGTCTCGTCACTTCGGAGTTCTGCGCAGCTTTGGGTGATAAGGCCTATGACGTCACCTGGGAAGAGCTGAGAGCAAGGGGGGCGGGGGGAATTAGACCATGGTACTTATATAGACCTTGGTGGCATGCACGTACACGCACACACGTACACATGCACATATTCACACATTCACTTGCAAGAACTCATGCATATTTTCATATTTACGCACATACATATTCACATATCCACACACGCATGTAAACAACAGAAAAAGGTAAACAAATAAACACGTAAATAACTGAAAAAGGCAAACAAACACATGTAAACAACAGAAAAAGGTAAATAAACACGTAAACAACAGAAAAAGGTAAAAACGTAAACAACAGAAGCATATTAACCGTTATGAATACAACAAAATGGACATCGA